GGCGGTGACGGTAGCTAATAATTTGGACTTGGGTTGTAGGAGAAAATTCAACTTGGGAAAATTTATGGCATGTCTGAGCCGGCATGGTGCAATAAATTTCTTTTCCAAAAAATAACATATATATATATATATATATATATATATATATATATATATATATATATATATATATATATATATATATATAATTGTTTTTTTTTTGGATTTATGATGCATCAACAATCTTTGCCCACCCTCGTGAATAAAAACCCATCCATAGACAATTTCCTCTTATTTACCATTTTTTCCCTAAATCCTATCTGATTGATCAATAAACAAATTAAAAAAAAAAAAATCGGTGTAAGTGGAAATACAGTATTTATGTGTGTAATTAAGGTGTAAATGAGTCGAACTTGCTCGAATTGAATTATTTGAACTCAAATTCAACATTAAAGGGGCGGGCGATCGTAGATATTAATACTTAAGTATATATAAAAAATTATATATATATATGTCGATGCATTTCTAGAATATTAAAACGTGTGTATGATTTTTGTTTTAGGCATTGATTGAATTTGGTGTGAACGAATGGAACAATTCATAATATTAATATTGGTCAAAATGGGACCAATATTCATGAATTAACAGCTACTTGCAAAATTTATACTACTTTGCACTGCTGAGTCGCTGACTAGGCAACCGTCAAATTTCTTACCCAATTAACGCCGACGAAATTGCATGATAGTGAGAATTTTTACAGAATGAAATATGTATTCATTTGCTTATTATTCTTCTTTTTTTGATGATTATAAAGGAGAGATACACCCACATATATATACTATGCATTCTACTGTATGATATACATTTATATAGAAATAAACATAAGATATGGATCTGTGTTGCCAATTATTGCTGATTTGTTGGGATCTTCTCACAGTCATGGATGATATGAATCCTTGATTGTCGTCTCAATTAGTTCAGAATTATAGGAGAGATTACTTTCCTTAACATGCCCCCTCAAGTTGGAGTGTGGATGAGGATGAACACCCAACTTGCTGCGTAAATTTAAGAAGGGTGCCTTGGGTAACGGTTTCGTGAATATATCAGCCGGTTGAGACGAAGAGGGAATATAATTTGTGACGAGTGTACCCATGGCAACTTTCTCTCGTACAAAATGGTAATCCAGCTCTATATGTTTTGAGCGAGCATGAAACATGGGATTGACACTCATGTGAAGCGCACTGATATTGTCGCAGAAAAGTTGAGGTGCGGAAAAGAGAGAAATACCAATGTCACGTAACAAGAAGGTAATCCATGTCAACTCGGCGGTTGTTGATGCCATTGACCTATATTCCGCTTCCGAACTTGAGCGAGACACGGTTGGTTGTTTCTTGGAACTCCACGAAATACAATTGGCACCAAGGTAAATGCAAAAACCAGTGGTGCTGCGCCTTGTTAAAGGGCAACCTGCCCAATCGGCATCGCTGAAACCGTAAAGAGATATAGGACTCTGATTGAGATATCGAAGACCAAGTTGTTGCGTGCCTTTCAAGTACCGTAGTATACGTTTGACCGCCTTCATGTGAACGATGGTTGGATTGTGTAGGTGTTGACAAACGCGATTAACGGCATGAGAAATATCTGGCCTGGTGAATGTCAAATATTGCAAAGCACCTACAATACTTCGATATGCAGAAATATCAACTGGGTCATCATCAACATGCAGCCCTTTGTCCTTAAGGATCAACGGGGTTGAAATGGGTGAGCTTTCAAGCATCCTCGTTCTTGAGAGAATGTCTGATATATATTTGGCTTGGGATAGAACAACTCCACCAGGAAATGGTTTGATCTCCACGCCAAGAAAATAATGCAAAGGGCCAAGATCTTTAATTGCGAATTCTTGACCCAACTTAGTAATAAGAGTGCTAATGAAACTGTTGTTATTTCATGCAACAAGAACATCATCAACATAAATAAGAAAAATTATTGTTATCTCACCATCATGGTATATGAATAAGGAAGAATCAGCCTTGCTGCAATAGAAACCAAGGTGGAGTAAAAATTGGGAAAGACGGTCGAACCAAGCACGGGGTGCTTGTTTTAAGCCATACAATGACTTCTTGAGCAAACAAACATGATTCGGTGAGGCTTCATCAATGAATCCCGGCGGTTGTTCCATGTAAACGGTTTCTTTAAGATTTCCATGTAAGAACGCATTCTTGACATCAAGTTGACGCATATTCCAATTAAGAGAAAGAGATAGCGCAATAACTAATCGAATCGTCGTCGGTTTGATCACAGGACTGAAAGTTTCTTCGTAATCGAGTCCAGATATTTGAGTAAATCCCTTTGCAACTAAACGAGCCTTGTAGCGATCAATTGTTCAATCTTCTTTGTACTTGATCCGATAGACCCATTTGGAGCCAACCACATTGACATCAGATGGTCTTGCGACCAGGTCCCATGTATGGTTTTCATGAAGGGCTTGTAATTCCTCTTCCATCGCAACGAGCCAACGTGAATCTTTGAGGGCTGATTTTAATGTCTTTGGTTCGGCGGAAGCAACAAAACAATAATCTTTGAGATAAGTGGGTGGTCGACGCTCTCGAGAAGGTCTTTGCTCATTGACGATTTCTTCTTGCGTATCAGATGTTGCTGCAACAATTGGTGAGATTTGCGAACTCATATTTGATTCTCCAACTGAGAGATTAGTTGGTGCAGGAGTAGTATCGAAATTATCACCATTGTCCATTAGGTTAATACTATCAGAAACATTTATATCTTGTTCAGCTGAATCATTGATAGAAGGAGCTTCATTGTTTTGAGTAATCTGTTCCTCATTTGTAACTTGAGAATTTTTATCATTACTTAAGCCTGCACAAACAAATGAATTACAAAAATCTGTATCTTTTGATATGAATTTTTCCATACCTGACGAATTTATAGATTTATTTGGAAAATTTGAGTCTCTTGAGATGATCCATTCATCAGAAGACGGAAATTCGGTCAGCACCAACTCAGATGATATAGGAATTTCACGTTTTGGTCTGTACGGAAAAACTTCTTCATTAAAAACAACATGTCGAGAAATGTAAACTTGCTTGGTTTTTGGCTCAAGACAGCGATATCCTTTATGGATAGGACTGTAACCAATGAAAACACATGGGTACGTTTTCTTCGTGAACTTAGACCCTCCATGATGTCTCAACGACGGAAAACATTGACATCCCAATACCCGCAAGCCACTGTAATCTGGATGTCGATTATAAAGCTTGTAATATGAACTTTTATTTTGTAATGTTGAGGAGGGCAATCTATTGATGAGATATACTGCACTGAGAAAACATTCAACCCAAAGAAATAATGGCATATTAGCATGAAAAAGCATGGTTAGTCCGGTTTCTACTATATGACGATGCTTTCTTTCGGCCACTCCATTTTGTTCTGGAGTGCCTGGACATGATACATGTCGTTCAATTCCGCAATTTTTAATATGATCAAGAAAAGCGTTTGAGTTAAATTCTCCTCCACCATCACATTGAAAAACTTTAATCCTCCGATCAAATTGATTTTCTACCAATTTTTGGAATTTTGAAAAACAATCAAAAAACTCGGATTTTCTCTTTAAAGGATAAAACCATGTGAATCTTGAATAATCGTCGACAAAAATAACATAAAATCGACATCCTTGATTTGAAAATAGAGGTGCAGGACCCCAAAGATCACAATGTATCTTTTCAAGAGGAAATTCGGAGATTTTAGTTGAACGTTGAAAAGGTAATTTACAACTTTTTCCCATTTGGCAACTAATACATATAGACGAGTTAGTCACCCAATTTGTAATATTAATAATTTTCTTTTCCTTCAAGATAGAAAGTATCTTCAAGTTTGGATGTCCAAGTCGTTGATGCCATAATACTGAGGAAGAGCCACCTTTTCTTATTGCACTTAAAGCATGTTGAGAGATATCATGTAGAGCATAGAGTTGCCCTCTTTTACGCCCATTTGCTATTGTCCTTTGACGTCGATCCTTAACAACAAAGTCATTAGCAAAAAATTCAAAAGTACAAATATTATCAGAAGTAAGTTTTCCCACAGATAATAAATTCTTTTTCAAATCAGGAACGACAAGAACATCTTTTAACTTTAGTTTCCCTTCTTCCGTATTAATATATGCATCACCGGTGTGAGAAATAGGTAATGATTCACCATTACCAACATAAATCACATCTAGACCCGAGTAAGGTTTTGCATAAGAAAGTTTACCTGGATCATTGGTCATGTGAGAGGTAGCCCCCGAGTCAATATAAAAGGACTCGTTGTCACTCATATTCATGGCAGCGAGAGCTTGAGGGAGGTCTGCTGTTTGATAAGAATAGTCAAATATGTGCCAACAATCGATAGCTTCGTGATTTGGCTTGTGGCAAATCTGGCAAATAATGTTCTCATTTCTGGTTGAAGAACGAGAGGCATGGTGTGTCGTCTTCACGTTTCCGTTTTCTGATTGATCAATACTGTTAGGTTGTGATCGACCACCGACATGGAATCTTTGCTTTCCATGTTGAGAGTTATAGCGTCATGCTGGAGTAAATCCTCGACCCCTCGAATTGAATCTTCCTCCACGACTTCCACGGCCTCGTTCGCGTTGACCATAAAAAGCTTGCTCGTGTTCGAGAAATATCTTTTCCTCGTCTCGTAATGTCTCTAAGGATTGTTCATGCCCCTGAAGTGCCAATACAAATTGGCTAAAGGTTGGATATGGAGGCTTTGTTAACATGGCCAATCGGAAATTTTCATATTTTGGTCCAAGGCCATTTGCAAATCGGAAAACCTTATCGAAATCACTAACTGGCTTTTTTATAGCACTAAGGTTGTCACAGATCCATTTGAATTCTTTTAGGTATTCATTTAAGGACCGTGACCCCTTTTTGATAGTCATGAACATGTTTTTCATGTTTCTTTCTTTCTCGATCGTGATCGGAAGAAGCTGTTCCTCAAGGGATTTCCAGAGTTGGCGAGCCGTTTCTGCATCAAAGATCGATGATAGCATTTCTTCATTCATGGTTCCGCAAAGCCATGAAAGAAGTAGACCATCGTTGATAATCCATGTTGCATAAACTGGATTTGGGCTCTTTTTCTCTGCGTCGTCTTTGATTTCGTCAGATGGAACTTCATCACTTTCGAGATGATGAAATACACCTAAGCTGCGAACCAAAGGGGTGATTTGAGAGCGCCACATAAGATAATTAGTGGTGCTTAGCTTAATTGAAATAAGGCTTGAATATTGATGGAATGATTGGATGGTAAGTTGTGGTTCTTTGATTGAGGAAGACATGATATTGAGGCTTGCGGTTTGGCTCTGTGATACCATGAGAATTTTTACAGAATGAAATATGTATTCATTTGCTTATTATTCTTTTTTTTTTTTATGATTATAAAGGAGAGATACACCCACATATATATACTATGCATTCTACTGTATGATATACATTTATATAGAAATAAACATAAGATATGGATCTGTGTTGCCAATTATTGCTGATTTGTTGGGATCTTCTCACAGTCATGGATAATATGAATCCTTGATTGTCGTCTCAATTAGTTCAGAATTATAGGAGATATTACTTTCCTTAACAGATAGTATTTCAGTCGATATATAGTTCATTTGGTAAAAAGTAAAAGTTAAAAGTAAAGAGCAAAATATTTATTCACCACCCGAATCCCATACTAGCGTCTGAGCCACTTTCTGAACTGGCGGTTCATAGCTATAATATTATTTTATTTTCCCTAAGTTAAATTACAAACACCCCTGAGGTATTGTCAATTTATAAAAAAAAACTATCTTGTTTGGATAATTACATCTACCCTCTTCAACTATGTTTTTTTCTTACATCTCCACCGTTATAGTGTCAAATTCAACATAATATCGTCTAGATTTCGTGGAATGTGCTTTAGTTTGTACTCGTTATGTGTAAAAATACAGTTTCTGATACACAACAATTTGATATATACAAACCAAAAAAACACATATTATGATCATCTTGCTTTAAAATGTAGAGTTCGAATGAGATAAAACGAGTATAAAAGTGATAATATTTTATAAAATCTAGAAAATTCCATTAAATTTGAGAGTTGAAGGGGTGGTTGTAATTATCCAAACAAGAGGGGTCTTTGTAATTTGACCATGCCTCGGGTGGTCGTAATTTACACTAAATGATTAAACACTAGCAAACAAATTATAATAAATAAAAAAATATAATGCGAACATTGTAATCCGATTGGCATCTTACACATATTCGGATATTCCCAACTATGAATCGAGTTTGGGTGTGCTTTCACATTTGATATTACAACGTTTAAGGAAGCATTAAACCATATTATAATACTAATTATAATAAATAATAAGAATTATGAACAACCTTACTTGATTAAGATAATCCTAAGACACACAGCAAACGGAGAATCACTGTACCATAACAACCAAACACATAATTAATTGAAAGTAATGTGAAAATAAATTATTATTTTATTTTAATGATGCTGAGCTGGGGTTGGTTTACCTTATTAAATTTGCTATTTTCTATGGTTATTTCAAGTTAATTAAGGAGTAATTATAATCAGTTGTTAATTAATTGCTTAATATTAGAGCATTATTTTTTTTTTTGAGTAAATTCAAGTCCATTACAAGGGGAAGTAGGGGAGGGGGGGACTCGAATCCTAGACCATTACCCTATTGGTAAAGACTAGAGCATTATTTAATTAGGAGTATTTTATTAGGTAGTCGGTGCTGGTTGTCCCCTTCACACAGCCCCTGGTTTTGGGAAAACTGAATACTAGGGGCCGAATATCATAAATTTTAAACGGGCTAGCCCGGTATCCGGTTCTTCAAGCCCATTTAACATGGAAATTTAAGAAATAATATTGTATTTGTTTTTATATTTTTAAATTCACCTTTTATTATTTCATTTGCTATTTATGTAGAGTCTTTCTAACATTTAGACACTTATTATTCATTAATTATTCTTAAATCACTCGAGTGTCCAAAATTCGCTCGATTAATTATTCGAGACGACAACTTTTCCCTTGTAAATTCAACGCGATTATTAACTATTTGTCTACTAATATTTAGACTTATTTCTATTATTTTTTTATAAAAAAAAAAGGTAGGAAGTCTTTAAGTATATAAATATATGTTATTTGTACAATATTGCCAATAAATGAGTTATGTTTCGTTTTTGGGCCTAGAAAGCTAGAACCGCGGGTCTTCGGATTATTGGGCTTTTTCTCATGAATAAATGGGTCCATTACAAAACAGCTAGAACTAGAGTTAAGGCCTTTTCATTTGGTATTCATTATAAATTACAAAAGGGCTTAAATAAATAAATAAAACTAAATAAATAATTGTGGTCAAATAAACCATATTTGTTTTTGAGAAAATACTTGTTTGTTCGTTAATTAATATTAATTGGCCCATAGTGAAGATATTAATAATGCATAATATATTTTTAAAACTCGACCAAAAAAAAAAAAAAGAATAAAAAAAATATTAATAATAATATGATAATAGCAATAATAGTTAATTTTGAATATGTAGAGGAAGCATGGCCCCTCCAGGCCTAAAGAAGGCACTTCCACTTTAGACATTAGTAGAAAATTAGGGTGCCCCCACAACTAAAAGGGTCAATTCATAACAATTTATATTACCAAAAAGGACAAAAGCAAATTTATCCTTATCCCATTCTTTTAATTTTACATTATCCAAGTACGATAGTGGGCCCCACCTTATATTAATCTCTCTCTCTCTCTCTTCTTCTCTCTCTACTTTGTAAGCTTCCTATACAGTTGTCCAATCCTCGTGTCAGACATTTTTCATGCTTTTATCATCTGTCCCGTCAAATATCAAGATTTATACTAAAATAATCTTATTTTCAGCCACGTGTCCACTACTAATACCATATTTTTTTCATTATGATACAACATATATTTATTTTCATTCCATATTATTACAATGATACCACAAAAAATAATTATTCAATATTATTGTATAATTTACAAACCATTCAAAAATTTCATATTTTTTTCTGAAATTTTGATTTTTTTTATAAAACAAAATAAGTAAAATCTGTCCTCCTAAGGAAAACATAAAGTAATCTGAGCCGCTCGATTCAATGAAGATATTTCTTTTACAACAATCGGACGGTGGAAACAATATATACAGATTTGCACGTGAATCATAGATAATCAGCGCGTCATAGAACCAACCTCCATTTGCCGCGTACACTACTGAATGGATAATGCTGAAAATAAATAAATATATTAAAAAAATACTCCTACCATGCCATCAACACACAACACGACAAAACTGTTTGTAGAAAATAACATTTTTATTTTATTTTCAACAAATACGGGAACTATATATATTTTTTTAAATATTTCCACCGCCGTCATCTCGTACGGGCCGCCGCGGGTAACATGAAACTACCGCCGTCGACGGCGGCGTCAAATCCGACTGCTCGGCACTTAACGGCGTTATTTTGACTCTTCACCTGCGACGGTGTGGAAAACGTCGCCGGAAAAAGGTTGGTCGTTCGACGGTATGGACCGAGCCACTTGTTCTGCATGAAGCGGTGCTTCCGCCACGGCGGCAGGTGGAGGTCCCTGCTCTTCAACGACCGCCTGGCGGCGTCGCTCACCGCCCTCAGAATCAGCTTCAGGCTCTCGGTTTTCCCGACGAAAACCCTAGGCAAGCACTGCACGAGACGCTCGTACGAGTTCGTCGGCCGGGCGATCTCAAACTCCGACGCGAAATCCAAGTCGACGAAATACCTCGCCGACGAGTCCTTCTCGAGAACGTCGACGAACTCGTAGTTTCCGGCGGTGAGTCCGCCGCAGCTCTCCCACTTGGTCTTACAGATCGCCGCATTGTAACCGTAACCCCTGAGAAACGCCATCACGTTTCTCCGCAAAACACGCTGATCCGATTTCACGCACGAAAACGCCTGCACCGCCTTCAAAACGTGAGCCTCGAGCATATTTCTAAACACATCCGTCCGATCCACCACAATCGGCTTAATCAAATCAACATTCCCCAAATTGAACTCGTACATTGACGGATCGCGCTCCGAATCGGCGGCCGAGTACTCATCTCTCTCCGGCGCCGCCTCACCGTCGATTCCGAAACCGAAGAATATATCAGAAAGGCTGGAGGAAGTGACGTCATCGTCGGCGTGAGCGCTGCTGTGGTCGCTTCCGCTGCTGACGTAGCCCGCCGGTTCGGCCCGATCCCGGCCGAAGATCCGAGCCTTCACCTTATCATCTAACGGATCAGTCACTCTCTTCGTTCTCGTAAAACCATACATTCTCAAAATATTTCTCAAAAGCAATTGATAATTTTGCTGAAGCAGCTTTTTCAATAATCAGAAGAACTATGATTATAAAAAAAGCTATTGCGATTTATATATAAATGGGAAGAGGCCGAGGAATTTAGAAAAGGAATATTCGTAATAAACTGAATTAAAAAATAAGTAGGAGAAATAAAAAAAGAAATAAAAGAAATAGAAAAAAGAAAGTGTTGGTTATTGGTGGGAAAGGATATACTGAGGTGTATCCCCAGTCGAGGGGGTCTTAAGTACTGTGGTTGCAGTGCAGGAGCACCAGGCATATCCTTTGGATTGTTCCGATACGTGGACTTGCTCTATTGGTCCACGTGTCGCGTGTATCCTTGAGTTGGCACGGGCTGGCACGTGCGACCACGAGGTGAGGGGGTTGGGTGGTTCAGTTCATCTGATGCTGCAAAATTCTTGGGTGGTGTTGGCCTTTGTTGGTGGTTTGGTATTATATACAATGTTATGATAATCATACTTTAGGTTATGTTTGGCTTCTTTTTTTTTTTTTTTTTCCTCCAAGTATTTTTGATATTTAAACAAATTATTTGGCATTAACATATTTTTTATTAATTAAAAACACAAGCAAGAAATCACTTAACATACAATGTATGAGAATGCTTTGAAATTTATTTTGCCCAAGAATTTGAGAATGAAAATATAAACCATGTCAAAAGGCCTGAAAATTTTCAAACTAGCTTTGATTTATATTTTTTAAGTTACAAGAATAATTTCGTTTTGGGGAAAATGTGAGGAGAAAAGAACATGCTTCCATCAATTACGATTCAAACCTCTTCTTTCAAATTTACCTAAAAAAGAATATAACACTCTTTCGAACTACTGTTCTTCCTATTAGTTAGATTGTTGCGGTGTAAATTATCAAAATACAAACAAATATTAATTTATTTTCAATTTTATTTTTCACAAATATATTTTCCCAAATAAAATAAAATTTTAGGGCAAACACACCCTTAGTGTTCATTTTCTTTTTTCTTTTTATTTCATACCACTCTGCAATTACATTTGTCCAAACCGAGTTCCAAAAAGAAATATAAAATAATAATTTGCCTCTTGGTACACAACGTAATAGTGTCGACACCTTTTTAGTGTACATTTTGACTCTAGACTCCCTTAAAGATAGAATCAAAAGGAAAAAAGAAAAAAGGATAATATTAAATCCCCATACCTTTTACAATCTTCAAAATTAAATATTCATTGAACTAATTAATTAATGTTATTATTATTTTATAAAGATCATATTGAAATCTTCAACCTGCAAAAGATCTTTGGTAAGAAAATTAAATTAAGATAATAATATTATGGAATATGCGAAGAACAGCCTAACTATTATTGCAAGTGGGAATTGGGTGTTTGCCTTCTGGGATTTAATTTGGATAACATGGTTTTATTGCTGGCTTTTGGTGATGCAAGCGGTATAAATGAATTAAATTAATTGTATTTTACATATGTATATAAATATTTGACCAAGGTGTGACAAACTCTGAAATTAGATGAATTAAAAGGTAGGTGGGTTAATTAAGAAGAAGAGACTGCTGCCAACTTGTGTTGCAAGAAAGGAATTTCTTCTTAGTCTTTATTTTATTTTATTTTTCATGCTTGAAGATTTTGTCTACGTGTTCATTCATTGTTCACTTCTTAATCTTATCCCTAATCATTTTCCACGCACATATATATATATATATATATATATATATATATATATATATATATGTAATAAATAAATAAATAGATAAATAGATAAATATATATAAATATTTCTTATCCAGTCCCAACAACCCCACCACCTAAACAATAACTCAAGAATTAATGATGTTGTACAATCTTAATCAATCTTCAGATGTTTCACGTAAACCACCATACTAACTCAACTAATCCGAGTTTATCTAGAAGATAATTAATTATGTCATGATTGATTATATTGTTTGATTTTAATCGCCCAGCTTCTTAGAATTTTGATAAATTAATAACCTTGACTTGGATAATAATTACTTCTGATCGATCCCGATTCAATACAAATGTATATTAAATTATTAGTTCTATAATATAATATTTCACTAAATTAATAGAATTTTACAAGTTCATCTAACTGTATAATCGAACAAGGCCTAAGAGAAGAATCAATAGTTATTTATACACAACTCCAACTATTACTTGCGTTGATTTCTTCTGAATAGAATTCATTTATTTAGTTAAATAAATATCAAATAAATGTATTCAGCTAAATTTTTATACATAATTACACTACACAGTCGGATTAAATTGATTAATCATGATTATTTTGATCCACCGTGCGCTGGAAACTGTTTGGCTTTGGCATCTTCATAATTCGGCCACGGGCCGGGCCTAAGTTATCGGGCTTCCACCAAGTCTTCAGGACCATAATACACGGAAGTACAAGTTTGATATTGGCCAATCAAATAGTCGGGCTATAATGAATCAGCCCAAACAAACAGTCAGGCTACAATGAATCGGCTCAAACAAACATTCGGGCTACAATGAATCGGGCCAAAGAGATAGTCGGGCTGCGATGAATCGGCTAACCAAACAGTCGGGCTACAATAAATCGGCCCAAACTAATAGCCGCGCTACGATGAATCAGCCCAATAGAGACCTAACTAAAGACTAACTACTTTATAAAACTTGGGCGTAATTCCACTTTGGACCCTCAAAATATAACATATTTGCAATTGCGCCCTTAAAAATGTAAGGCAATGTTTGGAAGCGTTTTGGATCTTATTTTGATTTCATTTTGAGGAAATATGTTTTGGGGAAATAATTTGAGAATGAAAGTAATGTTTGTTTGTATCTTGGAAGGAGACAAAATACACTGTAGCA